TTTAATCAAAAATTTACCAGAATTTCATCTTTCCAATAAAAGAACAATTAAATTCCACCTCTCGAATAGAAGAACAATTAAATTCAACTTTGTTATTGCAATTTATTCCAAAAAGCTGCGGAAGAACTAATATTAAAAATCCTATAAATGTTTTGTTATCTCCATTTCGCGAAGAAGTCTCCATTGAAGTTGCACGATTATCTCAGCGATTATTTAAGCAGGTAGCAATAGCAAATACTTCAATTATTAGCGATCATAAATATATATTAACTAGGGTACGTCCAGATAATTATGCTCTTACATGCAGGTTATATTTGTTCATCTAGTTTAATTACCGAAGTGTATCAACAAATCAACAAATTTGAACCATTAAGGCTCAAGCTATTTCTTCAGGTATTATATTATTATTATTGTTATTAATCATTAAAGTTTCTTTTGAAGTAAAAAAAAGATTCACATGAACCTTTATTACAGACAATGTTATCAAACACGTTTAAATGTATGCTGCTTGATCTTGCTCTCCGCGATACCGACTTGTCTCTTGTTCCACGTCAAAATAGAACCATGGTCAATAGCCCTTTAAGTTTGGTAAAATTTGTGAATATCTACTTTGACTCTAAACCGTATAGTAATAAGAATAGTCCTATTGCTATGGCATTGTGGCGTCATACTTTTATATTATGTTCCGCATTTCAAAGTTATTTGAATAGCAAAGCAATACGAGTTGGTTACAAAGTTTTTTGTGGGTTAGATGATGATGAACGAAAGTTGATTGCTGATAAGGTGATAATTCAACGAGTAACAAAATTGATGGAACGGATTGAAAAAGAGAAGATGAGCTCTGAGCTCAAGAAAAATACAAAGTTACTTTTGGAAATAATGAGTATTGATATTGAAAGAATTTATAAGTGGTGTCTTGAAAATTCTGACTAAATACGTTTTACTATGATAATATATGAATGTAAAAAATATTGTTTTGCTTTATAATTTTTTTTTTATTTTTTTTTTATTCTTTTTTTTTATCTGTAATGTTGTACAATATCTGTTATATAAAAGTTTGTTTAAATGTATATTAAATGTTAAATTGAAATAGCTATCGGCTAATAATAAAAGTCAACAATTATAGTTATTAGCGTGTATATAACGATTAGGCTCGTGTAAACTCGTGATTCGCTCAGAAGATTTGATTCTTATGATTGTTAATTTGATTCATCGTTATTCCGCCCAAATCCACGGACACAAAATCGTGCGGATATTGCACGTACCAAATACTACATGTATTTTACTTTCAGGTCTTGTAATTCAATAATTCTATTTGACAAAAGAAAAAAATCCGAGACTACTGATCAGCAATGGATTACCGCGGTTGAAAATATTTCAGTAAAGGTAAGTAGAATTTATTACTGTAGCATCAAAAAATAGGAAGCTTAGAAGTCGGACTACGTGTTGATGCAACCGCCTAAGCAATCCGAGTACGTCTTGGGTTGTTATGGAGTACGACTTCGGAGGGCTTCTTAATCTTCAAGATATGTTATATGAAGTCGGACTACGCGTCGATGCAACCACCTAAGCAACCCGAGTGCGTCTCGGGAGTACGTCTCTGGTGGGCTTCATACAACTAAACAACAAATATTCCTTTTAAACCTTTAATTTTTCCAAACAACTTTCATTAAGCAACAAATACGATCAGAAGAAGTTAAGAAATTCTGGCTGGATGTTGATCTGGAAAAGGCAGAGTCTGAACGGAAATTAGCGAAAATTATTCTGGAGCAGAAGGAAATCGAGTTAAAACAAAAAGAAGTGGATATAGAAATATCCAAAGTATATATATATTAAATATCGAAATTTGTAGAAGCTTACTAATTTTGTTGTTTTTTTTGTTTTGGTTTACAGGCTGAATTCGTAATAAACCATTCTGAGGCAGGGAATAAAGGGCACAGTTTATTAAATGATCAAAAATTAAAATATATTGAAAACCTTGATAACGATAAAGAAATAGAATTGGTAGGTTCTTAATGGTTTTTCTAGTTATGTCATTCATGATACAAAACTTATATTTTCATAGGAAGAAGGACCTTCTTCGAAGAAATCCACAAAGAGGAAACCTGTATGTTTCAATGATAATTTGACCGAAACCGGGGACAGTGAGGTAAGTAGACGTTATGTGATTGTTATACGACTATTGTTACTAACCAGATTGCGCGTCCTTCATAAAAGTACTTTCCTGATGACGATGACGATGACTATGATCTTGATTCAGAGTCTTTCATCTCCACATATTCAAATCGTAATAATAAAAAGGTAAGTAGCTAGCACTGGTGACCTTGGCTGATAGTCAAATTATCGGCTTAGCTGGTCGATTTTTTTAAAATCAGCAGATCGATTTTATTGCGAGGATTGTAGCATTCGAGGTGGAAAATGAAATATGAGCAAGGTTGAGGCCAAAAGTTTCAGTAAAGCCCAAAAGTTCGCAAGAAAAACTTTTTATTAGTGCGAAGAAAGCAGTTTCATAGGTAAAATGTTGAACTATGAACGGTTTTTTGTTTTGATTTTTTCGCGTTACGCCTGATCTTGAAAATCTGATTGGTGACGCTCAGTGCTGGCCATTTTATATCCAACTCTATATGGCCAAGGTGGTCATAATACAATAGCGATAGTAAATTTTATAAATCTTAACAATTAGTCATAACAGGCCATAAGGTCATAACCTATAATTAGCCAATAGGTCACCGGTGGTTGAAATCTTCACATACGCAGTATAGGTGACCTTTTAACATATAAGACGTACAGGCAACCCTCGTTAATATCAACCCATTTGGATTATATTCAATACAGCAATACCAGCCCGCTTCATGTTTTAATAAAGTTGATTGGTCAAATAAATAATCACATAATTTTTGTATCAATTTAAATTGACTAAAGAAATTAGCAGTTAAAATTTATGTAAATACGATTAGTTGGTAAAAATTTTCAAATCGATTAGTTGTCATAGTTGGTTTTCCAACTAATGATTTGGACCATTAAACGACATTGCGAATGAATTCTTTTATTCAGATGTTTCTAAACCATTTACAACAGGTAGTTACCATGAATTGACCTCACTTATACCGGTGGTTCTCAAAAGCGGGAAGCTAAAGCCTGTATGGGTGGAAAAAATAATGATGTGATTTTATTTTGGTGGTTTGTTAATCAATTTAATACAAGTAAACAACAGTAGATTAATATCACATCTAGATTAATAATGGGTTGATTGCTATTTTAGTATTTAGTTTTAATCCTTCTCATAATATCACTGATCTTTGGATATTCAATACATTAACATGGAATTTAGGCAATCGGTGGGGTTATTGTGCAATAACTTTTCCTAATATTAGTATTTTATATATTGGTGAAATGAATGCTACTACCGTAGTGCACTGACCAAAGTACTCAGATACCCGTGGGTATCCTGACTGGTGAATTGTATAGAAGGGTATTTTGTATAGACACATATGTGATGCAGAAATCAATATGTGGTAGTGTAAAAAAATATCATGTAAAGTACCGGGTATTATCCCCTGGTTAAAAAAATATACCATGTAAAATACCTGGTATTTTAACTGAGAAATACTGAAAATAAGTAATACTTCGGTTAGTGCACTACGGTAATATTTTATTTATACAAATTGAATAACTTAAATGTTGTCTTTTAATAAATTGATTAGATAGTTTTTATTTATTTCGTTATCTTTACATAAAACCTCTTTTTCCAATTCATCACTAGTAATTGTGCATCTAAATATATTATCATCTTTATTATATAATACAAATCTATATGTGAAAAAATATATGTAACAAATAAATACAATTATTATATCTTATATCGATATAGAAGCAACTGTTTACTAAAGTATGTTCTATACTACTTTTTCCGTTTTCTTTTTTTTAAATCGATCACTTTTCACGTCAAGCACTTGTAAGATCTAAAAAGAATCAAGAAAAAATAGATTAGCCAATTGTTTCTCTTCAAAAAGTGTATATTTTCAAAAAAAAGAAGTTCGCTTTTACATTCTTCATACCATTGGACTCGTAGAAACTTCAGCAATAATTTCGTTTTAAAGAACATAATAGTAATGGTAAATAAGTATTTATGTTCTTGATTTGTGAACTTGCTTTGCCGTTCTTGATTTGTGAACTTGCTTTGCTGTTCTTGATTTGTGAACTTGCTTTGCTGTTTTTAATTCCAATGATTAATAAATGTTCTTTATAATCTAGATAATCGTCATCGATAAAAATTGATCGTTTAGCGGGACAGTAAAGTCTTGGTCTTTTCTGGCCTGAAACAAAATATAAATATAAAAGAAAGATTTTAGATATACACTCA